AGCTGTAAAACTTAAGACATGGGGATACGCAACCCCCAACGCTGATGAATACATTTATTATGTTCAGTGCTGTCAGCAGCTGAAAAGCTATCCATCACATTGAAACAGCACAGAGTCAGGAGTCTCTTTTTGTGGAGAAATATTGAAGTCAGATTGTTGATGTCAAAAGTCAAAGTATAGTTCAGCTATCTGTTTTATGAATCTGACTGAAACACATTGTGCCTGTGCGCAAACTGATATCTAGCAGAGCTCATTTTAGCAAATGTGTGATTTAGAAGTCAAAAAAACATTCCTACAACCAAACTCATAGCAGGCAGAGGCTGTGGCACGCTCACATAGTTTTTACATTTCAATATGACACCGTTTGGTAGTGTTTATCATCTGAAATCCAAACCATATCAACTTTCTAGCTACGATATTTAAGATCTATGTTCTTTCAAAAAATATTCACACAATAAGAGAATACATTAAAATAGTGCCTTGGTATCAAAGTTATTGGCCTTGTTGGGCTCTGCTTTGCTTTTATTTTCTTCTGTAAATTATACCACAAGTAAATAGTGGATTCACTTTATTCTCAATACAAAAATAGACACTCTATGGGGTTGAAATTACATGAGCATTTAATAGCCATTAAATTGGAGACAGTACTTAAGTCCTAGGACACATGCACCCACTTACACTTCTGAAACCCCTACTATAATATCACTTAGACTATCTGAGCTACATTTTATACATCATCTTACATACCAGGCATCCAGTAGCCCAGTGCTATTGAATTCTTAGAACTAAAACAGAAAGAAAAGAAAAAGTGCTATATTCAAGATGCTCTACTTCGCCAATTTCTATCCTCAGCTCACCTTATTTCTAAAGATACCTTCTTTCTTTTCACTGCAATAAATTTTAATTAATTTATAATAAAAAAGGAGTAAAATGAAATTGTTTGGGGGGAGTGCATATTTAATCCTATTTAATAGAATATTTGAACTAACTTCAAAATAGATGGTGCAGCTTGGAAACTATTATTTCATTTGCACAAATCTTAGGGATCAAAGTGTACATTTGGAGTGTATTTTTTAAGCCAGGACTTTGTACCTCCGAGGTAGCATATGCTCAGAATGCTATTACACTTACCAGCCTTCCTGCAAATTTGTGGTGTTTAACAAAAAACAAGCACATTTTTCAATTCAAGTCAGGAAGACTCTTTTATTTTTGCTGATTTCTCCTTCTTTTCTCTTTTCTAGCACAACCCTCAGGGCGCATGATGTAATGGCCAGCACTTGCACATGGGAGCCAGAAAGCCTTTCATGAGCTGCAACCTTTATTCAATAAAAATTATTGTGTTCCAGATCTTTTTTTCTTCCCAAAGAGGGGAAAACATATAAATATCATGTAGAAAGATTTAGGAATCCTAGAGAGCTCTGCAGGTTTTAAAAACATTAATTATTGTTAAAACCAAGGGAAAAGAAGCAACACACACAAAACCAACACCAGAGATTATTTTTACCCTAACTTGGTTCAGTGACACCAGATGTAGAACGGGGCTCTGTGCCTTGAAGTGTCACAAGTTTGAGTCAAAACTCAACTTCAAGTTAATTGGCTGGTTTGGGGGCTACACAAATTGAAGAGAGACATATTTGTTTCTGACGAGGAAACAGGGAGGGTCACTGATCCTGACTCTGCACCCCTTTGCTATGTTACCAGAAACTTGCTCCCCTAGGTAAATATCACTAAAGCTACACTTTTTATCTTTCCTGATGATAAAGAAATAGAAAACAAATGCAATCATCAGAAATCCTGTAGGAGAGTAAAAGAAACAAAACAAAAACAAAGGTGAGGCTTTATGCTGTCCAGGTGCATATTCAAAAGCAATGTTTGTTTGTCAACTCTGGGTTTTGCCTATCTTTCCAACTATGCTGACACCCATATGCATTTAAATAATATCTAATACTATGTTCTAATTTTAATATTTTGAAATGTACAATGGCAAACCCTATAATTAAGTGGCTGGGCTTCCTTGCATTCTGTTTTTATTGCTATTTCTAGATAAATTGCAAGCTTCTTTGGATTATTAGACAGGATTCTTTCCTTTAAAAACCCCATCCAGGTAGGAGGAAGAAACCATTTGAAATACTCTATATGTCATTCAGGGGGAAAAATTATCTACAAAAGAGAAAGAGCTACCATATGGATTCACTAGACACTAACCCTCTTGTCCACCCAAATTATTACACTCCCCACATAATAAGAAGACATTGAAGGGGCTGTGTTGTATGCCTTCCAGGCATAGCTCCATAGCCAGCAATTAGTCTATGTACTCAGAGGCCAAAAAACCTTATTGTCTAACTTGCTGTATAATTATCTGTTATGATGAACTGTGATTCTAAGGACCATTGTCTTTAAGCTTGGATCTGTGTATGGAGTAGATGTCTGGCTGAGACCCAAGAATGGACCTTCCTTTAAGTATCTCTGCCTGAGTGATTTCTCTGGTCTCTTCCTGGCTGGTAAAACAGAGACAGTTTCTGCATGATTTCTTGGGTTGATGAGAAGCAATTATGCCTTAAATGAAGTCATTCATGTCTGCCATCTTGTTTGCATATTTTCCAGTGTTCACCTGTTATTAAACCTGTCTTTAAACTGTAAGCTAGTTTCAAGTAGACTTTTGTGTCTAACACAGTTCGGTAATCAGAGGAAAACAAAATAGATAAAATGTTTTCTGCACAAATCACTCAAGCAAGAAATCTAATAAAGTGATTAAAATCTAAAATAGCATTTAAAAATTTCCCGGGAATTTTTATTTCTTTGAAAGCTACCTCCTTCATTACCTGAAAAATGGCATTTGTCTTAATCTTATTGTGAAAGTTATCACAAGTTGGTTATCTGGTAGGAGAGAAAGAAAAGGCAGAGGAAGGAGAGAGTATTAATAAATTTTATTTTTATTGTCAAAATAGTTATTATTGTTCTTTATAATATTACAATGATATATTGCCATGTGTAGGAAAAAGATTGCTGGGAGAATTTGTTTAAAATTGGCTGTGTTCGTAGGTGAGATTATTAGAAGACATGGACTAAATATTTAAATATCATATAATGCAATCAGATATGATTAGTCATTAAAAGTATGTTATAATGAATTCAAAACCACTAAAAGTATACTTTATATAGAAACTCAAAAAGCAGAAACTTTCTGTTTTAAATCTTCTGGTCTTTCATCTGCAAAATAAATGCCCACACTAGCCTTAATACAAGGAATGAATTATAGTTTAGGGTTAGAGCAGTCACAAAATGCAAATTAATATTATCACTTATTTAAACTGAAGTGTATTTTTAAATGGAGTTTTAATGAACAACTTTTTACACTTTTGATAGATTTTATATTTATTGAGCTATTTATTATCTATTCTTTGTTAATATATTTTACTTTATGTATGCATTTGGATTTTAAAATAAGCCACAGTAGTGAGCCGGAATGGTATTTTCTAATGGTAAATGCAAAATGGAATATTGTTAAGTAAATTGAAAATATAACTGAATATATGATACTCAAATTATTTCATATATATTCTCATTCATTTTGGAAAAGAATTATTTTTTAAGAAAAAGATATCAATTTAGGAAGTAATTTAATTTTAAAACAATTTCACGGTGTTCAACTTTTTAAAAATTCCAACTAACCATGTGAGTTTCATTTTTTAGTTTCAATGAAATATGATAAGAGTTGCTGAAGGTTTAAAAGTACTTAATTTATCACCACTGAACAGAAAACATTTCCCCCCGAAGAGGTTTGTACTAAGGTGACCTCTACTGTTTAAAAGAAAGGTTTGCAAAAAGCCGTCCTTCTCCTAAAATATTCAGTAATCCTAAATTACAAGGATAAAAGTGGATACTGCTGTGCTTAAAAGTATTTACTAAATTCATTACTGTTTCAATTATATATGTGATCTTTAAGCCTTTTTCCCTCAGAGCTGGGAAATTTCCTCTGTCATTTACTTCCTTGCATTTCGTGTACAAATTCTGACTGACTGGGATCCCTGCCATTGCATTTGCTTCTCACTGAAGGGCTTTATCTGCTCCTGGTGGGGCAAAGTCATGACCCAGAAAAAAATTGATTCATGAATTCTCAGGGTGCAAGTAAAGAAGAGAGGAAATATGCCTTGGCTGAACTCCGACTAGTGACAATTTAAAACCTGTAATTAGTCTGAATTCAAGCTGCAAAAGGAATCTGAATTAAAAATTCATTAATTCAAACAGATATATTAACTTGAACAAACTAGATCTCTTATTATAAAGAATCACTTTTACAAGATGCTGTGTTATCTACTGGAACCTGAATTTTACTAATTTTAAAATTATTTAAAGGTGGTAGAAAAAGCACCAAACTATTTCATTGTGCCTCCTCTCTACTTTAAGAAAACTCACTTTTATTGGATTTTCCCGGTGTTAACACTTTAGTTCTGGGTTTTATTTCCACCTCAGTCCTAAATTTCATGTTTCTAAATTCTCATTGTCCTGTGGGGCACATGTGCTTTTGCTATTTCCCCCCTGATGTTTCCAAGACCCCCGTCCCCTTCAGCTAACTCCCTGACATTTCCATGAACTACACTGGTGAAATGTTATACAGTAATTAATGTTGATCCTAGTGCACACTCAGCCACCAGTACAAATTAGGATGGAAAAGGTTATCATAATATTTTGCTAGTCTATTTGGTAGGTTTGAATTGCACCCTGTGGGGGACAAATAAAAAGAAAGGCGTATTAAAGTTAAACTTCAGAAGAAAGACTAATCAGGTAGATTATTTTTAAACCACACGTATTTTAGGCTTTTTATCTGAAAATAATAGATCAGTCTGTGTGAACACGTTGATGTTTAAGCTATGACCCCCTCATGACCAATGCACAAGACTGTCAAGCAGGTTAGAAGGTACTATCCATGGCTGGGCTCAGGAATTCACACTAAAATTCTGTTGTCTTTGTGTGGAGTTCAAATCCAGGTACAAACAGCAGCTGGAGCCTCTCCAACTGTCAGTAGTGTCTGAAAAACATGAAGAGACTAAATAATTTAGATTACATGATATTGACCTGTATAATTGTTTAAATTAGTAATGCAGTCACCAACTGAAAGAGGTCAACCATCTGTAGAGGAAACAAAGAATTTGGTTTCATTTCCAAACAAACTTTTGAAGGGCAAATTGTTTTTTCTGTGGGAGGTAGGGGAAAGTCCGAAGACAGATTAATGGCTTCTCCTGCTAAATAAAGGTTAGCGCTCCTGTCATTTGTAGAATGCAACATCAATAGAGAAGTCATAGGGCAGCTGGTCCCAACTGCACATAATCAGTGTGCATGGCCAGTGTTTCTAATGGATTAAAAGGTAAGTGGCTTTAAGATTCATTTTATTTCATTATGTATCATCATCATTCATTGTGTGTGTGTGTGTGTGTGTGTGTGTGTGTTAGTACATGTGTATTTACCTAGGAAAAAAACTTTGGAAAGAATCCTGAAATTAGAAAAATCACATTTTTAAAGATAATGACAAATAATTTCTTTGTAATGAAATTCTACCTAAATCTTTATCTCTAAAGTTTGGAGTTGCTAAAAATCTAGTAATTGAGAAGCATACTTTTGTACCCAGTTTGTTTTGGGAAAAAAATATGCCCATTTTAAATAGATTAACACATACTGATCAAACTCTTGGTGTTCAGGCAACTTACACTGAATTACAGGCAGCAATAATTAAGTGTTCCTATCAACTTATTCTCCAAAGCCATTACCTTCCAACGGGTTACTTGCCAGGCAAAGTGGTTTAATTATTGGATTTCTTCTGTGATCCCCTGTTCTCCTGCCCGTTTACTTTAACAGGCTTCTCTGACCTCTTTATGGTACAACAAATTATAAAAGAAGAGAATGACAAAGAAGAAAGAGATTAAGTTCTGTGTGCCTATGAGCTAACTATGAATTTAATGCCATGAATTTTTTTAAACACAGAAACTATCTTTGCCATTGGTCTTTACTTTTTAAACATGCACGCTAGTGCCCACTCACCCACACCCACACACACGTATCATCATCTTAAATTGCTTGCAGCCACATGCAGAAAAATGTTTAGTAAATTTTTTCTCAAATCTTTTTGAAAATTTTCTTCATCCGTCTAACAAGAATGATCCGCAATATACTGTACATCCTGGCATCATTATTCATCTATTATGAAGAAATAAAACTTATAATAATTCAATATATCAGGAAGGTATTTTCATTGCACACATAAGATGTAGAGCTATTAATACTGTTTTGTGTTTGCAGTGATATCATCCAACAAATCTTTATATATTTGGACAATATCCATATATTGCTACTGAAATGTAACTGGTTGCTACTGGTTGATAACATATGGTAATTGGAAATGTAATCCTCTTTAGATTTTCTGAGAGTCTACTGAGGGTTTGGCACTGCAAAGCATGTAGAAATAAATTTAATAAATATACTACTCATAATGTTCTTAATGAAATTGAAATTCCATTGGCTTTTGATGGATCTATATCCAGAACATAGCCATAATTTTCTAAGTCCTTGTACCATACTCTCAAGTTCTGACCTTCATGAGTAAGCATGGGTTCTTGTTAGCTCTGTCACTAACACACACACACTCACTCACACACATAGTTTTACACGTTCCTCCCTTGACCCAAATTAAAGAGAGAGGACTTCATATTTCTACCCATTGTTGATCTGCCCATAGTGCATCTATATGCATGCGTAGCCACCTATATTTCCTATTCCCACCACACATACACATAGCTCCAAAAGTGAAAGTATCAAAGAGTGGCAAATGGGAAAATATGACCTGATTGACAAACACTTGGAAAAAATGAAAACTTTAGTAGTGACTAAAGGAAGACAGAGTCATCTTTTTTTTATCCTCATGTTGACCTATGGGCAACATGGTAGAAATGTAATCATGAATAAACAATACAATGGTGCCTTTTGTGGAGATTGCATATGAACTGTAAAGTATGAAAATTATTAAATTTCTTTAAGCTGGAGGAAAATCTAATGTTTGAGGAAAAATAGCAGTTTAGGGATCTAAATCATTATGATAATCCTGGTCCATTATGGTAGCCATTAGCCATATATGGAATAAGAAACTGTTGTTGGTTTTCAGTAGAACATGATCATAATCTGACATTTTTTGATGATCACTATGGCTTATCTGTTAAGAATAGAAGAGTCCTGGTTCATGCCTATAGTCCTGGAATAATTACTAATAGTGCCCTTTTACTCTTAAAATTCCTCAGTTTATATGACAATTACAGTCACTCTAATGAATGAGACTATAGAGGTAATTCAATAAGAGATCTATCCAGGTAGGTTGGTTAAATGTGGTAGCAGTGAAATAAGGCACCTGAGATCTACACTTGAGATGAGTGTTTATCACGTGCTCCTGTATTTCTTTCCTTCCTCTCTTTCTTTGTTATTTCTAATTGTGTTAAAATATACATAACAAAGTTA